CACACACACACACACGCACGCACGCACACACACACACACACACAGACACACAGACACACGTGCACACACACTCTCTCTCACACTCACACACACACACACTCACACACACTGTCAGTTCTGCAGTCAAACACTGACCCTGTGCTCTGTCTCTCAGAGAAGCGTGTTCTTCAGCCTCATGACAGTATTTACTCTGAGTCTCTGACGGCACCCAGCAGACTGATCGCCTGTCGCAGAGACCTCAGCGAGATCCTGGTATGACAAACTAGCACAAAGTGTTCGGTTTTTGTGCCTGCACCTGATAAACATAACTCAGTGACGGTGTTTGTGTCTCAGCCGCCGCTGACGGAGTGTCCAGAGCTGGGACAGAAGCCCGTCAGACTGCTGGGCATCAACACGTGGGACGTCGCTGTGGCTCTGACAAACTTTGACTGGAATCTCTTCAACTCCATCCACGAGGTGAAGCTTCTCAGATGCTGCTGTCATCAAATCATGAGCAGAAACCTGCTTGATTTTACACCAGACAGCAGATGAAACAATCACATTTATATGGTTATATTCATTTATATTCTATTTACATTCATATGTTATTATATTAAAAAAGATAAAAAATCTATTGTTTATATATTATTATTTATTTAAATATATATTTGCAAAAAGAAAATCTATTTTATGTTTAAATAATTTGTTATATAATTTTTCTTTTAATTTATGGATGATAAATGTATATTTGCATAAACAAAATGTGTTTCTGTTATGATGTTTAAAAAAATTATATTATTATATTTTATTTACATTTTATTATATTAAAATTATTAAAATGTGCAAATATAAATGTATTGTATTTTAAGTGTATTATATATTTTACGCTTAAAAAAGTTGTTTGAAATTTTTTAAGGAGAAACATTCAACATCGAAGATCCTTTAAACATTAGATTAGAACATTAGAACATAATAATTGTAACAAAAACATTCCCAAAACCAAAATGCAATGTTTTTAAAATGTTTTAGGATATGTACTACTGGTTAAAATTGTGGGGTCTGTAAGATTTTGTTTTTAACCTCTTAAAAGACGTTTCTTCTGCTCACCGGAGCTGCATTTATTTAATAAAAAATTTAGTAAAAACAGTAAATATTATTACAGTTTAGAAATTCTGTGTTCTATGTGAATATCTGTTAAACTGTAATATATTCTTGTGATGCAGCGCTGAATTTTCAGCATCATTACTCCAGTCTTCAGTGTCACATGATCTTCAGAAATCATTCTAATATGCTGATTTGCTGTTCAAGAAACATTTCTGATTATCATCAGTGTTGAAAACAGTTGTGGTGGTGAATATTTTTATGGAAACTGTGATACATTTTATTTTTTCAGGATTCACAGATTAATAGAATGTTCGAAAGAACAGCATTTATTTGAAATAGAATCTTTGATCAAACGTGACAGTAAAGACATCTATAATGTTACAGTTTCATACATCCTTGCTGAATCAAAGCATGAATTTCTTTAAAGACACCACACTGACCTGAATCTCTCTCTCTCCCGTGTGTGTGTGTGTGTGTGTGTGTGTGTGTGGCAGCAAGAGCTGATCTTCTACACGTTCAGTGGTCAGGCGAGCAGTGGCCACACGGTGGCGCTGGAGTTCCTGCTGCAGCGCTGTAATGAGGTGCAGCAGTGGGTGATGTCTGAGGTGCTGCTCTGTCCCTCGCTCAGCAAACGAGTGCAGCTGCTCAAGAAGTTCATCAAGATCGCCGCGCAGTGAGTCTCAGTTACCTTCACGACTACTGTCTGTCCCGCAGCATTAAAGACGATTCACAGACACACATCAGAGAATATGACAATAGTCCAGCAGTATTAAAGACATCAGAAAATATGACAATACTGCTTTTTATGACAGATACTGATTATTCTTAAGTCTAATAAAATAATATTAATATATAAAGAATAAAAAATATTTTGTTATTTTACTTTTTATAGTTAAATGATAATGCATTTCATGAAGCATATTGATTGTTTTTGTTAATAAAATACATTTGACAGCACTAAAAATAATATATATTTTTTATTATTTCAATTTGTAGTTTATTATTAAAACATAATATTGCTTTTTATGACAGATACTGATCATTCATGTTTTATATATAATAAAAGATTTATTAAAATATTACATATTTTATCTTTATTGTTTTATGAAATGTATTAATTTTATTATTTCATTGTTACAATATAATGCTTTTTATGACAGATATGAGTTATTCTTAGGTCTAATACAATAAAGTACAATAAAAACTCTTTCACAGATATAAAGAAAAAAACAACTGGAATATTTTATATATTAAGTGGAATATATAAAAATATTATTTTCTATTATTTTAGTTTTTATTTATTATTACATTTTAGTAATGCAATTTATGTCAGATACATATTGTTTTTGTTTAGTACAATAATACTGATATATTAAAAATATTAAATATTTCATAGTTTATTATTAAAACATAATACTACATAGTGGTTATTAATATATGTTTAATAAAACAATATTGAAATATTAAACATTTTATTTTAGTTTATATTTTATTATAATAAAACTGCTTTTATGCCAGATACTGTTTATTTATGTTTAATACAATAACAATAATATATTACACATATATAATATTTGTCATTATTTTTCATTATTTATTAAATTGTAATAATAGAATAGTTTATATTATTGTAGTAGTGGTTATTTTTGCGAAGTAGTTTTGCAGTCTGAATGGTTGTAAATGAATTTTGAAGACTGTCTAATGGTTTCTAAGTGTACTAATGTCTAATAGTTTGTCACTGGAGACTTATTTAAAAGCTGCTCTTTAGAGACTCAGTGAATGAGTGAGTGTTTGAGTATTTAGCACAGATTTAACTCCACAGACGTCCAGTGAAGGGACTGTAGGCGTCCCGTCTGAGACGATCTGAGCAGACTGTGTGTTTAATATCTGCTCATGATGATTTACTCTGTGTGTGTGTGTGTGTGTGTGTGTGTGTGTGTGTGTGTGTGTGTGTGTGTGTGTGTGTGTGTGTTTCAGCTGTAAAGCGCAGAGGAACCTCAACTCCTCGTTTGCCATCATCATGGGCTTAAACACAGCCGCTGTCAGCCGCCTCAACCAGACCTGGGAGGTAACACCGCTCTACTCACTCTATAGCCTCTGTTAACCAGCTCTGATGCAGCCAGATGCTCAGTTTCTGTCTCGTTTCTGCAGAAAGTTCCTGGAAAGTTCAAGAAGCTTTTCTCTGAGTTGGAGCTGTTGACTGTAAGTCAAACCCTGTCTGTAAAGACAACATAAAACAGCGTACTAATACAAATAGAGTTGATTTTGATTCCATGTCACATCAGTAACATAAAGAGATTGATCTGATTTCTTCCTCAGGATCCATCCATGAATCACAAAGCCTACAGAGACGCTTTTAAGAAGATGAAGCCGCCCAAAATCCCCTTCATGCCTCTGCTGCTCAAAGGTTCATTAAAAAATATAATTTTTTAATTACTGCTTTTATGACCGATACTGATTAATTACATGTTCATTAACATATTCTTATGCTTAATAGTGAGATATTAAAATATAAAATAATGTATATTTATTTTTGTAGTTTATATTATATTAGTACATTTTTTTTACTACTTTAGTTTATGTTTATTAAAACTATAAAATGTTATTATTTTAGTTTGTTTTGTATTAAAATATAGAATGAAAATATAGAATGTTTTATTACTGGTTATTGATTACTAAATACTGATTTTTATGATACTGATTCTTCTTCTGTTTATTAAAATAACACTCATATATTACAATATTTTATTTTATTATTTTAGTTATATTTATGAAAAATATAGTTTAATTTTATTATATTAGTTGATATTTTATTAATAAAATATAATGCTGTTGTTTTGTCAGATACTTAATTATACATATATTACTTTATATTATAATTATAAATATAAGCATACATTATTTACACTAATTATTTTAAATGTATTATTTACATTATAAATTAAAAAAAAATATATATATATATATATATATATATATATATAATTTATAGTATCTGTTAGCATCTTGGTTACTTAATTACATTTTAAATATAAAAAAATAAAAAAATAAAATAGTACAAATAAAAGACTCAACTTTCATCTTCAGGTCTCTTTAAAAATGATTAGCTATAAATGATTCAAATGATGCTTGACTTAGCAAACACTGCTAATTATCAGCTATTTGTATGAGCCGAAATGTCTGTATCGGTGCATTCGTGTTAATTAGGCTGTGATGAATATCTCAGGCTCTGTGTGGTTAGATCTGCGCTGAATGAATCTCTGAGCTGCATGGATTTCTCCTCTTCTCAGGGAACGAGCTTTCTGCGTGTGACGGTCCCGAGGTGCGCTCCAGCGTCCATTACCTTCACATCATCGACAATCAGCAGACGCTGTTCCAGCTCTCGCACAGACTGGAGCCCCGAGTCTGAGACACACAGAGACACAGAGAAAGAGCGCCGCCTGCTGGACAGATTCACACTGAATCAGTGACTCTCTCAGAGCCCAGCGAATCAGTGTTCAGACATCACCATAAAACACTTCTTTCTTAATGTAAAAAATGACTGGCGGTCGACGAAAGCTTTTTCCTGTACGTGCTTTTTCAGCATTGTTTTGTTGAAATGCAGTTGTCAATGTTATTTAACTTCTACCAGCACTCTGGACCATATTTATATATGAATTTAATACTTCAGATTGTTAGGGCTGGGCGATATGATCATAAAATAATATATAAAAAATAATATTTTAATTTTAAAAAGGATATTAAATTTTATTATGTACTTTTTTCAGCCTTTGACCATGTTTAGTGTATATTAATATTTATATATTTGGATTTAAAGGCTGATTTATTTTAGTCAGAGGATCTGTAATTTCAACCAGTTTGATTAAAAATGTATAATGCAAGATTGAAAATACAGTAAAAATCATGTGAACACAGGAACTGATATAACAAAACATAAACAGCAATATTAACACACACAAAAAAAATCATTGAATCATTTGAATTGATTCATTGAACTGATTCATGAAAATGAATCAGACTTGCTTTTTGAGGTCTGACGTTCAAATCAGAAACTTAATGGTTTCAGAAACTTAATAATCACACTGTTGTTTCGGTTTATGAATATTACGATATTTTATAAACACTAGAGCAAATATAACACGCAAACGAATAATTTGAATCGATTCATTGAAACCGATGGTTTGAACAACCAAAGTTCATATCAGAAACATAGTGGCCAAAATACAATCATCACAACATTGCTTCAGTCTTTAAATATACAATATTTTGTAAACACAAGAAGAAATATAACACACACAAACAAATCATTGAATCATCTGAATCGATTCATCGATATAGACAGTTTGAAATGATTCATGGAAATGAATCAAACTTAATTGAGTTTTACTACTAATGAAATTCCAATCATAAACTTAATGGCCAAATAAAATCATAGTTATCTTGGCTTCAGTTTACGATATTTTATAAACACAAGAGCAAATATAACATGCAAACGAATCATTTGAATCGATTCATTGAAACTGAAGGTTTGAACAACCAAAGTTCAAATCAGAAACATAGTGGCCAAAATAAAATCATCACAACATTGCTTCAGTCTTTAAATATACAATATTTTGTAAACACAAGAGCAAATATAACACACACAAACAAATCACTGAATCATCTGAATCGATTCATCGATATAGATTCATGGAAATAAATCAAACTTAATTGCGTTTTACTACTAATGAAATTCAAATCATAAACTTAATGGCCAGATAAAATCATAGTTATCTTGGCTTCAGTTCACGATATTTTATAAACACAAGAGCAAATATATCATGCAAACGAATCATTGCCACAAGACAGTTTGAACTGATTCATGGAAATGAATCAAACTTATTTGCTTTTCACTGCTACTGAAGTTTAAATAAACTTAATGGCCAAATAAAACCATTTTGCTTCAGTTTATGAATATATGATATTTTGTAAACACATAAACGAACACAACGTGCAAACAAATCACTGAATCATTTGAATCAATTCGCTGAAACTGAAAGTTTGAACTGATGGAAATGAATCAAACTTACATGTTAGTTAAAATTACAAAGTTAGAGGTGAAATAACGTCACAATGTTGCATCGTTTTATAAATAAATGATATTTTCTGAACAGAGTATATATCGCCCGGCCCTACAGTATGAGCTGAGAGTGAACGAACAAACACAGGCCATGGTCAAAGGTCATGAGGATGTCATATAGAGCCAAGTACTGGCTTGTCTTCATGTTTGATATTGGAGCTCATTCTGCCAGTGACATGCAGTGATCGTTCCTGTGAGCCGACAGTATTATTTCCTTGAAGATGTTCGTTTCGTGCAGTTTTAGCGCTGAAGCTCATGCATGCATACTGTATTTGCACTTACTTCTCTGTTTGTACATTATCGTGCAAGAATGTAGATACGTTTATATCTGTAAAGAAATGTGGTTTGCAAACACACGTTTCTGTGCCAAGCACTATTACGGGAGAGCGATGCAATACGAGGAGATTTTAATATTGTCCAATGTTTTATAAAAGCCTTTAGCTGCAGCTATGAACCCATGGGACATCCGCTTTAATGGGAATTGTGGCTTTGTAATCGATCAGCTCAGGAAAGCGTGAGTCTTAGGCCGCAGGATACTGAACTTCATCAGTTTGTGCACTGCCACATTCATTCACAGACACAGAAGAGCGAGCGGCTCGCCTGAATGCGCTGCGACTGAACACACACTGCTTTTCTTATTTATGAATATCTATGGCACTTGTGTTATTTTGTGACATGCTGCCGTTCACAGATAGAGATGGGCATTAATAGCTGTCTGATGCTTTGGTGAATCTCACAAAAATGTTTAGTCACACATTTCACCCTGAAGAGAGTAATAAGTAAATAAATAACGAGAAACATTCTGTCCCAACACTATTTTTTTTCTTTTAATTTTCTTTTTTATTATTATATTTTAGGAAATTAGGTACAGTGCAACAAATGTCTGGGTCACCAAATAATGAAAAACATCCTGTACCTGATACAATTATTCTTTCTTTCTTTTTCTTTTTAATTTCCCCCTTTTATTGTTATTTTATTTAATAAAATTAAATTCAGTACAACTAATGTTTGGGTCACACATTTTACCCCAAAGAGTAAGAAGTAAATAAGTAATGAAAAATGTCCATCCAGACGCAAAATGTTTCTTTATTTAATTTCATTTATTTAATTTTTATTTAATTTTTTTATTCTATTTTATAAAATTTGATTCAGTACTACTACATGTAAGGTTTACAATTGAAATACTTTTTAATCATATTGATTTATTTTTTTTTCATTTTGATTTTAATATTTTTTTTTTGTAAAATTAAATTCAGTACAGTAAATACTGCCATGATGTAAGGATCACAATTTAAAAGTACTACTACATGTAAGGTTTACAATTGAAATACTTTTTAATCATTTTGATTTTTTTTTTTTCATTTTGATTTTAATATTTTTTTTTTGTAAAATTAAATTCAGTACAGTAAATACTGCCATGATGTAAGGATCACAATTTAAATATTTTTATTAATTTTATTATTATTATTATTTTGTTTTAATTATTTGTTTATTTATTAAAAAAATGCATTTGGGGTGAAATATGAGCTAGATCTTTTTTTAAATTTATGTATTGTTATATTTTTTCTTTTATTATTATTATTATTTTTATTTTTATTTTTTTACAAAATTACATACCACAAATAGTATCATGACATATGTTTCACAATTCTAATAATAATAATTTTTTGCAAATTAGGACGGTTTTTTATGTGATTAACCGTCATGAAAGTAATGTCATAATGTGACAAAATATTTAATGTGAAAATGTAGTATGAATTATATTTATGTGAATAGATACCTTTTTTTGGACAGTTTTTTTGTGAGATTCACTCAGTTCAGTGAGTTATTCTGAGGTTTGCTCACACAGAGGGTCCCGGTGGATTTCGGCTGGTCTTGTGCTGTAAAACTGAAAGTGAACAGATTATTTTCTTTATGGATGAAACTGATCTGACTGCCGTTGTCACAGAAAGCCACTGAGAAGAAGACTAATATTTTGGGGTGTTGTTGTAATCTGCAAATGTAAATATAGATATGCTCTGAATATAAGACTTAATGTTAAAAAAGACAGAGATTCAAAGCAATATATTTACAGTCTGTTGCTATAGAAACCACACACGTCTTTTCTATAACCTGCATTTTTACAATAATGTTCAAAAGCAAATGTCAATAAAAGATTTATGTAACATTACATGTTTATGCTTAATCTATTGAAGCCCCCATAAAAAGGGCCCAGTGACACCCCTGCTATATCCCATTGATAATAATGCAGGCGGAAATTCTTTTACATTACTAATCGAAGCCAGATGTGACTGTGAAAAAGGTCACAGCAAATAGGGATAGGTGATAGGTTTGGATTCCCCATTTTAAAACTAGAATTGCTAAAAGGACAAGTAACCATGTTTCAGTTTACTTCTCTTCATTAGATGGAGGAAATCCAGCCATTAAGAACTGCTCAGTCATTTGCTCAGACTCATATTCTGTTTTAAAAAGTGTATTAAGTGGTAAGTCTACATCTAGACAAGACCTATGATACTCTACAAAGCATGTTTAGATATTATGATTACTCATTATGATTAGGAAATGGCAGGAGATGTGGGATGGGGAGGTTAAAGGTCATCAACAACATTCAAAAACATGTTGGGAATGGAAGGAAAAGCGTTGGAAGTAGGAAGGAGGACACAATAATATCAAGGCTTCGTATTGGTCCTAAAGCTCTGGATTCCTTCACTACTCGTGTAACTGCAATTAACCAGAGACTGTGGGACATGTGCTATTCAATTGTGTTGCATATAAAAGAGAACGAATTTAATACAGAAATTCTTTTGAATAGAAAACGTGACACTTAAGACAGTACTAAAGAATGCCTCAGCACAGTTTAAAGTATATTATGCAATTATAAAGGATCTGAAAGCAATGCTGTAGCTGTATTGTGGCTAGAAGGGATACAGCTCCGACCGGAAACTAACAATGAAATTTAATTTTCTACCTATTATTTTCTGTTTTATTACCGTCTTCTCCTACCCCAACCCTAAACCTACCCCTTACAATAATGCAAAAATAGTCATTATTGTTGTACAGTGAAAAAAATTACGCTATATTGATGTGCGCATGCCAAGTACCCGCAGCTGTATCCCTTCTTAACCCCATCTAGCCGTAACCACTAGAGTTGCCAAGTCCGCGTATAATACGCGACTTTGGGCTTCTTTTTTGTAAAGTTGCGTAAAAATATCCCGGTTCGCGGGTTGCAGTTTTTTTGGGCTTATTTAAAAAAAATATGGTTGCTTGTTAGGGAAATCTGACAAGCAACT